TTGATAAACCATCTCAACATTCATTGCAAGTCTAAAAAGACTTTTGAATATATTTATTTGATTAAAAGGGAAGTAAAATAGAATGAATAGTAAACTATCCAACAACATCATAACCTTGTGATTTTGAGCTCGCAAAAAAACCCATATTCACACAAAAAGGCTCTATGTCAAATGGCAGAATTGCAAAAGTGCAAGAATTACAAGGTAAATGCTTGTGGTAAAACTACTTGTATGCATACTATATGCATCTGGCTGTGGCTGGTACTGAAACACAGGAGGCAATGACATAAACCATTTGCTGCAGCCCACAGAGACAATACTGACGGTGCTCCTCCCTCATTGAGATCAGCTTATCCGCAGAGAACATAATTGATAATGTAAATAGAGAGTTTGGACGGACGCTCCAGAAGTTTGTCATGGGCTGTTTACAAAATGTTCAATTCGGTTTTTCCTGTGATTTCCTGGACATTACGCAGAAGCCTGAGATAGGCATGCAGAGGTCGGCAAGCAGACGCACACACACGCGCACACACACACACACACACACATAGGCACAGCATAGCACAGCACAGGACACGCTTGAGTTTGCACAAACAGAGGCTGCCTGTCCCTGAGTGGGATGTCCGTCCGCAGAGGGAGGTGGTGTAGCGGTCTGGGGAACAGAAGGGAGACATGGGACAAAACACAGTGACAGCATTGGTATCCCACGATCTCAGCGTCGACTACCTTCAGAGAGCTGCTGCACTTTTTCTGAACATGAAGTGATGCTCTTTTAGAGTAAGGTCCTAGATAAATAGATAAATAAACAAATAAATCTGTGTGAAATATTGTGAAATTGACCCGTTCAGTTTTCCAAGTAGTTTCTCACCATGTCCAGCTGACTCCATGCTGGCTTATATCTGCTGCAATTTTCTGCTCTCAAAGAGCTTTGTGTCAAGATGAATGCAAACTGACAGAAACCCAGTAGTATATTGATGTCTGGATCAACAACAATAAAAATCCATATGAATTGTTGCTTACACACTTTTACCTCCCTTAACGGCTCTCTGTAAATCTTATGGTCCATTCCCACACAGCTCAGGTATTCTGATTGATTTTAGGTAAAAGAGAGGTATTTTACAAGATTCCACATGTTTTATTACCGTTTGCTAAACCCAGCCCCCGAAGAGCGATTGTCCAATAGCAACTGTAACTAGCCACGGCAGCCTTCGGATTTCTCCACATGCCGAAATGGTTTCCATGGGCTATAATAATAGCATTACTATATATTTTAAGATAAGTTTAGAAAGTTTTGAGAATGGTATCTTTATTATAATTTTGGCGTAGCTATGCACGTAGCCATACATTTATACTTGTGCGTCGGTGTCTCCGTTGTTCTGCAATTACACCACCAAACGCTAGTTGGCGGTAGTGCTACAGCATCTACTGTGCTGACTTTTTCCGTCCGTACCCCACTTCACTAACGAGAAGTGGGGTAAAATTGTATACGTGTGGTTATAGAGTTTTCAAATGTTATCGACCAGATGGATCACATTCTGATAGTGAAACAAGTCATTTTGCTCGGGTTGTGACAGTCAAATATATTTATTCACTGTGTTACAGCCGCTGGTTTGGCCACTACTTCATCAAATCACGGGGCACTTCCTGACGGCTGGGGAGGCATGAGCCTTCCCAGCCGACCACTCACAGTTCTTACTGTCCGTGTTGCCCCGATGTGTAGTTACATTTTTGAGGAGGTGCACATCCGGCTACGGTGACTGGAACATCCGTTTAGGGTTTTAGGGTTAGCATTAGCTTAGGTTAGATAAAGCCGATAAAATATTTTAGCTACAGTTGTAAATTCAGCTGATAAAATCCATGGCCATGGACTTGCTTTTGTTTACTTCCACTTCTTACATCAGTTGCTTAGACTGTATATAAGAAGTGGACGTAGTCAATGTGACGTCACGCAATGGTTTCTGGACTGCCGTTTTGAAAGCTCAACTTCTTTGTGCTACCAGAGGAGTCGCCCCCCTGCTGGCCATTCGATAGAATGCAGGTTTGTTATTTCCGGGTGGCCTCACTTTTCAAACCTGGCGGTTCCCACTTGATCAGTTGTTGACTAATGACTATAAATTCCAAATCTGCTAATAGTCTTTTCTGACTTATTTGGCCACTAGTTATTTGTAAATATGTCTAATTCTGAAATAGTTGAGACATGATATCCTCAGAAGTTTGCTTTTGAGGCAGACCCAAATGTAAATACAATCTTGGATGTTGACATGAATTTGCTGACACAAGTTTGTGTCCATCCTGGCCTTTCGCTGAGAGGGGACTTCCTATTTTCAATCCTGCTTTTCCTGCCAAGACAACTGTTATCACTCTGGGGAAATATAGGTACTTTCCCCAAAGAATATGCATAAGCAAGCTTGTTAAATTAAGAAACAAACGTTTTAGACTATTTATTCTTGTCTGTTTGTCTAGAAAATAACAAAGTTTTCATACATTCTTCTAACCAAATGTTAAGGTTTTTTTGTGTATGACTAGTTTGCATGTGCGTTTGTGCAGTGCGAGTCTTCACCGTGACATTTTCAGTGTACAGTTTTGCTCTGCTCCCCTCGCAGTTTGGCCAGCAATTTGCCCATTCAGCACAATGCATTGTGGGATCCCAGTGCTTAATCCCAGGGTTAAAATTGAGTATACGTTTGCTGCAACCATAACGAGCGCTCTGTCGTCACATAGGAGACGGGTGACACATCCCAATTACCCCTCTCCTCCCTAAACCTGGCCAATCACTGTCAGAACCTTGTTAAAGAAAGATGGGAAGGTGGTAGAAAAGAGCAAGGGAGGGAGCTGACCTTGTGCAAGTGTGTGTGTCTGTGAACGTGTGTGTGTGGTCATATGCTGACAGGAGATACACAACATCACACATGCAAAGAAGTGCTCCGGCCAGCAGATCACATGGGCATGCACAAATCCACAGCGTCACAGACACAGAGCAGCCCTGCAGCGGATGATTTAAGAGCTGGCTGGAGCAATCAATATTTCAGCAGATATGAAATCCAGAAACGCCATCCAAGGTGTATTTAAAATGATGTGAATCTGGGCTGTAGAATAAGCGCAATATAAATCATTAGCTGCTCACCCTGTTTTACCGTGCAGCTTACAGCTTTGTCGGAAATTCTGTGTGTGTGTGTGTGTGTGTGTGTGTGTGATGAGAGGGAGAGCAAGATTTTAGAGGATTTTACAAAGCTGAGCTTTTTAATAACAAAACTAACACCAAATACAAGCCAGCAAAATGGGCTGTCAGAAGTTCTATATTGGTTTAAAAGCCAAATATTCAACATTTCTCTTAGATTTTTTAAAATCTGATTGGTACGCAGAAGTATGTGGCATTACCTACTGCACTTCCTAACCAAACCCCGCACTTTAAACCAGAAGAGAAGAGCACACAAAACAGTCCAGACAAATCTCTAAGCTGAAACTGGTTGAACTTTGGCAGAATAATTGTGTTCATGGAGGATCCCATCGCCCGTAGTGGGAAGCAAATTTAGAAAATATATTTCACAGCCTTTAAACTTGGAGCCATTTATGACTTTACTGAAACTGTATTTCTTGTTTCTATTTTATTGTATTTTATTCAATTATTTGCCTTATGTAAAGTATTTTGAATTGTTTGAAAGGATTCACACAAACCCCACTTCCCTTGCCTATAACCTTACAAAAACATTTCTTAATCCTCATGTGGTGCACTGCACTACCTGTGCTGTCACGTTCTGTCACTATCACTGTGTTTCCAGCAGTAACTGGCTCTAAGGTGCTTATGGCTTAGTGTGGCCAGGTTATACTGGACAAACATAGTGGAAGTTGTTAGCAGGGTGGATGAGTAGACTTTATCCCGTGTCTGAAATGTCTCTGGCACTCGGCCTTATGTGGCCTAACAAGTCACTGTGGGATTTTTTTTCTAAAATAACATCGGACTGTACTGTATGTTTTATAGTGTGAGGGTGTGTGTGTGTGTGTGTGTGTGTGTGTGTGTGTTTTAGTGTTTGTACACGTCCTTTTAAGTTAACATTTTGTCATTATCCTCTCTATAAGACTTAGGTTTGTAGGTTTGTAGGTTATGTTAAAGGTTAACAATAACCACAGAGTGCTGGGGATTAAGGTAGTAGGGGTTAGGGAAATACTACAGTCCACAGAGAGACCTCACAAGTATAGTATAAGTGTAGGTGTGTGTGTGTGTGTGTGTGTGTGTGTGTGTGTGTGTGTGTGTGTGTGTGTGTGTGTGTGATTCGTGTCTATGTTTTCAGTGTGGTGTGTTAAGGTTTGAGGGCTCAAGTCCCAAGGCCCGGTATGTTGAATAATGTGATAAGACTGTGTGTGAGTGTGTGTGTGTGCCTACTATTAACACACTCAGCAGGATGTCCTGTCCAAGCACTACTTTTCTTTTCTTGCCAGACAAATGCATCACCTGAAGAACATATAGTTTCTCATTTCAAAGGTCAGCACAGACATAATTCATCCAAACAAGTGGGCAGGAAAAGAAAACAAAGTGACGACTGTCACTGAAATAATCCAAATGGAGGCACTGCATCACCTCTGAATATTAATTCATCACTTCAAGATCCCTGTGGTGCGTTTCATTGATTTGTTTGCTGTTGTAATGTGAGCAATGGATGATTGAATTGTGCTGAACAGGCGTTTCTTTAAGCTTTTCTATTGGACTGATATTTTAACATGGGGGAGTGGAGGACTGGGGTGGGTTGGATCATTACCTATCTTAACCACAAACGGCCATAAACAAGACAGAAACGTGGCTGGGATGAGTAATTTACAACCGCAATCTCATCTGACGTAAATCCTTATCTCTTGCCAACATATTGACAGTGAGAGGATAAACTATTTATCAGCCATTTGAATAAGTAATTTCCTGCAGCTCTATTTTACAAAATGTACCTCCCTTCACCCATTCTGTATGCTCACCTCATCTTCTGTCCCTCATATCGTTTGCCCCTAAACAGAAACCTGAGTAACAACAAGATCTCCCTGCTGAGGAATGGCTCCTTCTATGGCTTGGCTGCCCTGGAAAAACTGTGAGTACTTAAATCAAGCTCTCTTTACTGTTTTTCCCTCCCCAGAGTCCTATTAGCTGTCATCACAGGAGCCGCAGTGCTCTGTAGCAGGGAAAAGGCAAAAGGGGGGACATGGTGGGAATTACGAGATCCTTGCCCGGGTTTACCCTGCAGGAGGCTTGCCAGTGGTTTTCACCTTTTAGCTGTAATGCTTAACCTCAGTTACAACAGTAAATGTCTTAAAAGTGATAATATATAGCAAAATTTAAAGGCCAAACGCAGTGCAAGATGCCGAATCCATGTAGATGAGCCCCAAATCATATGCAATGTCCCAGAGGGCTGCATGCATGCAGCTTGATGATGAGCTCTATGATGGCTACCCTGGCTCACCCCGCCTGGCCCCTGTAGTCAACTATTGATTGCTTTCATCTATGTCCACTCCAGTGTTCACTGCTTTTCTACCTGATGGTGAAACTGACATTGGGTGATGATGAGGAAATCAGAGAGGGGCTAAAATCACACGGAGAGGACGGCTTGATAACTCTCTCCCTTTCAGTCAATCATCCTCAGATGTATGCGTGCACACTCTCACTCACTCTTAGAATCACACTTATTAGGCTCACACACACCTACACAAGCTACATCAGTGACTGCTTTGAATATTATTACAGTCAGTTGGCCCCCTTCTCCCTGACTACTTGACAGTTAAATTCCGATTGGGATAATGTCAGTGGAATAATTCTTCCCCTCTTCCACTCCTTTTTGGGTGGCTGTGTCGCTGGTCGACCTACAGGATGATGTTACCTGTCTCCCCGGGCCTTATTAGTGCCATTAAACCTTTCTACCCTCAGCCCTCCAGCTCCAGAGTGATGGAGAGATGATTGCGAGGCTTTTAAGGACACTCAGCCAAAGGTTTGTCAGGCTGACCTCTTGGAGCAGCAGTTGGTGTGCCCTATCCCTTCCTTCACCTCACTGCCTGGGTACAGCCTGTCCATCCGTCCCGCCACATGCAGCATTTGGCAGAGATATGTCTGTTGCTAGCAGTTGATGCCAAGCCAGGTATCCCCAGTGAGTTGAAAGTGGCGGACAGCTGTTACCGCATCTGGCCCAACCCACTGACTGTCTGCCTGCCCGGCTGGCTGACTGACTGGATCTGAGGGTTGTGGTGATTTGGCAGCTGATTGACAAGCTTAATAACGCATGTGTTTTGTGTTTGCACCACTTGTGCTGTAGCTGTGTACCTTTCGGGGCAGGGATGGAAACATGGTGATCCCAGAGCAAGTTTTTCTTTGTCTGAAATGGAAATGAAAAATGGGTTCTGACAATTAAAGGCCCACCTTTTCTTATTTACTTCTGGTGGTATCTGGCCACGCAGATAATTTTGGTTTAATTTGTGTTTGCTTTGAGACATGTTTCTCCCTCCATGCCAATACAATGTATGTGATTTCATTTTCATTTAGCTCATATTGCTTTGAGCTAAATGCTGTCTTACTTTTAAAAAAGAATGCTTTAAAATTGGTGCAGCAGAGTCCAAGATATCCTGACTTTTGGGAATTTGCAAAGATTTTAGAAAGCTCCCTCCAGAGCCACACAAGACACACAGGCTGAGTAGTACTTCTTGTGACGAGTAAACTGACCATTACATGTAAAATCAGTGAAGCTTCCCTATAGCTGTAATTTTTAAAGGCTGTGAAGCTGATGATACACAGAGCTACTTTTAGAGCAATCGTGCAGGGCAACATTGCCGTCAATGGTAAAGAGTAAAGATTACTACCATAATCCGTGTTATAATGTGTTGAGTGCTGACACAGAGACAAGAGATTTGGGCCCAAATGCAGACACTAAGCCAGAGCAGGTGCAGTTAATGATTTTAATGAACAGAATGAAAAGAATTTACAAAAATGCAGGAAATAATAATCCGAAGAGCAAGAATAAACAGAAATCCAAGGAAACAAAACCAACAATGAAGCCATAAATCCACAGGGTAATCCAAAAACCTGTGAAGACACTGTCATCTAATGATCTGACAACAACTGAAGCAAAGACAGAGACTTAAGAACATAAGAGGGAGGTGACAAAATGAGGCACATGTAGAACCTATTAGGTAATCGAGACATGTGAAAACGGTCAAACAAAGAAAATACAAAGAACGGAAGTAAAAGTTCTGAAAAGACAGAAGAAGAGGAAGTGATTTAACAACAAAAACATATGAGGAAGGAAATTAACAGAAATCCATCCATCCATCGTCACCCGCTTATCCTGTGGGTTGCAGGGGGCTGGAGACAATCCCAGCTGACATTGGGCGAAAGGCGGGGTACATCCTGGGCAGGAGACAAACAACCACTCACGCTCACACTCACACCCACGGACAATTTAGGGTCACCAATTAACCTAGACCGCATGTCTTTGGATGGTGGGAGGAAGCCAGAGCACCCGGAGAGAACCCACGCAGACACGGGGAGAACATGCAAACTCCACACAGAAAGGCCGGGTCAACCGGGGTTTGAACCTTCTTGCTGTGAGGCAAGAAGGTCGTGGCCGCCCTCATTAACAGAAATAAAACAGAAAAATAATAATGAGTGCCACTATTTCACACACCCTATTGAGGCTGAGGCCAAAATCCCAGAGGCAGATGATTGAAACCTGGGCACATAAAACCAAGACATGGCACGGCTAGATATCAGGGTATAAGGGTGTAAGTGAGAAAACGTGTGTTTGCTGTTATTTGGGTTAACCAGTCCTTAAGATCATAGAGTATAAACAGGAAGTCTTCCATGATTTTGCATCAAGGGACTTTTCTTTTAGTATTGCAACTTATCAAACCTCATTAGGTGTGCCATCATAATACTCATCATCACCATCACATTCAAGTCCAGCATAAAAGCACATCAGCAACTTTATTTATCCCCCAAGGAATGAGGCCTTTTAATGTGATTTGCTTCTATAGCCCAGATAGCGTCCTCTTAATGGATCCCTGTATGTTGGATGATGGCCTGGATCCCCCCATATGGGCACAAGCCCATTACCATCAGCCAAACTGGGTCCCATGGGAGCAAAGCAGGAACAAAGCTCATCACTGTTCTCTGGTCAGGACACTGAATCTAGCCTTTGCAGCTTCATCATGAGTTCCCACCGCAGAAGCACTCAGTCTGTGAAGAATCTGTGTTTAATGGATGATGCTGGCATATTATTCAGTTTTCATGCTGATTACACTGCATCAAATTTGACACTGTGTTATGTTAATGTATTTTATAGATATATCGGATTAAAAATACATTTCACTGTGCAAAATAATTTTAGTATTTTTTAGTAGAGCAACATTATAAACAACAAAAAATATCAACAGTATCAGTACAATATCATGTACAATTAGTGGAGTCAAAAGAACAAGTGCTGCAGTTCCTTCTTGGAATTATACCCTTTTCACAACTAGGCAAAAAAAGAAGATTTAGTTAAACAGAAGACAGATTTTTCAACAATAACTTGAAACAATTTAATAAAGACTATAGCTCTTATATTTTGATATAACAATATGGTGAAAGTATTTTCGGGTTGTCAAATGTACACACTGCTCTTGAAATAAGCACATTCCTATTGGCTACAAGCACATTTTGTGTCTTGACAGTAGTGGTTATTTTCATTGTTATGGCTGTGGATGTGACAGGCGCTTTATTCTTAGCAGACTGTCTGTCTGACATGTTTTTTTATTAGAGCAGCGGCTCTATTTTTTTTTTGTCTATTTGACCAAACTATATTTGTCTAGTCTGAGGAATTTGGAAGCAGGCTGAATAGACTGAGTGGACCTCAGCTCAGGGCAGACACAGTATCAGAATTCAGAATGGCATCTGCAATTGCTCATTCTAAAAAGCACATGTCAGTGGTGTGAGGAGGCGTCCTTTAAAAAGTTTTGAAACTCCTGTTGTTCCCATCGCTGAAGTGACGTTTATTCAGTCTTCCTCGTGAATACCTCCTTAGGAGGTGATTGATGAAGGCGTGGCAAACTGCTGAAGGACACATTCTCTGGCTGGTTGTGCATAAGAATGTATGACAGGGTTAGATCCAGACTCACATGATCAGAAACCAAACTCACTCTGAGGTTATCCGCAATAGGTCAAAGGTCAGAGGTTATTAACATTAGAAAAAATAATAGCATTATTGACCCGCTGGAATCAATAATAGTTCATTAAAGCAAATTATCAATCAATCAAAGATTTTATGTCACTTTGTCAATATTCTTCTGCCATGATGCCAGTGTGAAAAATAATTTGTTCTTAATTATAAAAAATAGAAGTTTAATGTCAACTGCTGATGTTTTTGCTCTGATACTCAAATTCTGGTACATTCCATTTATTTTTTTTTTTTTACATATTTCACTGATAGAGGCAAAAGTACATGTAAATATTTTTACATTAAGATCAATCAATACATCTGATTAAAATACCAGGACATTTTCTGACTAATGTCACAACTCACTTTTCAACCTCTAGTAGTTTGTTTTATTAATTTGTAATTATGATGTGATTAAGTCATATTTAAATTTTAATTCTGCCTCGGCATTGGAAGACAGTTATTTAGAACTCAATCCAATGGTGAAGGATTGCAGATTTTCCTTTGTTGCGTAAAAGCACTTCTTGTTTTTTTCTGTTTACCTAAGAGAGGATAGATGAAGCCTTAAATGGATCTAAGTGTAGCCTTGAAATATGAATGGTTTTATTGTTATTTTACAGGAGACCGTTGCTAGGTCACAGCTGAGGTGAAACATGTGAGCACCATGGGTGTAACCCATTTAATGACCAAGTTTGGAACCACAAAGAAGTCGGATTCTTCTTCCACGCCTGATAAATTAATAGAAACATTTACAATATTTATTTCCAGTATGGGATTGTTGAGTTATTTCTGGTTTTTATTGTTTTGTTATGCTATTTGAAAAAGAGCAAGAGGCCTTGACATCAAAAGCATATCTTGGAAGAATTTGCTTCACACTCTCCTTGAACATTTGCTTTGTTCTGATAGAAATACCT